AATAATTTGTTTTTTCAAAGACACTCTGATAATTTGGGTTAGGAAAAAATAAAAATAATAATAATATCAAAAATGATTAAAAAATACTATTTTTGAAAGAAAAATGAAAAGATTGTAAAAATGAGAAATAAAATATAACTAATCTACACTATTAAAAATTAAACACAAAAAAGATTAAAAATACCTAAAAATGAATAAATAGAGCTAACCCAAGACCGACTTATCAGACTCCTAACTTGCACTTTGGACATATTATATACGCATGTTAATCTCAAAATATGGGCATGATTCAGCGTGTTTCCAATTCATATTCGAATGTATCACAAAATATTTTAAATGCATCATCGTTTGCAGAATACTCATTATGTACAATATACAAATGTATCATATTTGTGTCGATATAATTTCACCATCAAATGAATCAACTTTAATTCTGAGAATGTACAGTAATAGAATGCATTATCATTTAGCTTGGTTTTGATAATGCACAATAATAGAAAACGACAGAAATGTAGTATTACATTCTAATAATGCACAATAGCATCGTTTGTTTTATTTCATTTCCTTCCAACAAATCATTTCAATTAATTATTACATTTTGATAATGCACAAAATATTTTAAATGCATCATTGTTTGCAGAACATTCACTATCTAAAATATACAGATGCATCATATTTGTGATAGTAAGATTTGATTTTGAGAATGCACAGTAACAAAATATATAATCAGTTACCTTAATTCTAAAAATGCATTATCTTCTTATATAAGTGCATTATCTTGATTCTCATAATGCACAGTAATAGAAAAATCAAATAAAAAGAAAAAGGCATATCAAAAGAAGATGTACTAGTACATCATACAATGTGCAGCATACAAGCAAATTTTAAGACAACAACACTTTCAGCAACTTCTTTAACAATGACCATCTTTGTTTGACTATCAAAGTTGCAGCCCCTGCCTCCCAGCAACAAGAGACTACACAACGCAAGAGACTACACAACGCAACCAACTGAAGCCCAATGAAACTGATGGAGGACAACTATTAGACTTCCATTAACATGTTCTCTATTCAAAATCATATCAGACTTACTAAGCAACAAAAAATCAATCTGCAGCCAAACAAAGTTACACCATATAAGAACAAACATATATAAGAGCCAATGAGAAAAACATCATTGGTGGTAAATGAATCGGATGACGTTTAAAAAAAGCCAACAAATCAAATTTTAAAAATAAAGAGTAGGTAGAAAGAATAAACAACAAATTAGAAACTAAAAAATACAGACTAGATGCATTATTCCCTTATTGCTGTCTCCATGCATAAGTTACAATCTCAGAATGCATTACAAATGCATAACAAAGCATTAAATTATACATGTTGTTACAACAAGAGTTAGATATGAAAATAACCTTTTATGAATATAATAATAAATAATCCACACTAGAGGGAACGAAAAAATGCTCCTAGAGGGAACAAAAAATTGTGCACATCATCTTAGTTGGTGGCTATGTGCAGTATAAATAATACAAAATGCATTACAGTGCTTTCAATTATGCATATCGTTACAGTTAAAGTTATTAGATTTGAAACTAACATTATACAAAAGTAAGAAACTGCACCAGCAAATAGATAAAATCATATAATAAAGGGTTAAAATAAGAAATGTGTGAATGAAACCATGAAATTAATTTTTGGTCATTTGGATTATAAACATATTGAATTGAGGCATCCAATAAAATTCTAAGAATCTACCAAAAGAGTAAACATAATAAGATCAGACATGAACTATAAAAAATAAGAAAAAGCAAGAGCCCACGCTACGAATTGAAGAGAGACTGCTTCCGATCTCACATGAACAAGAAAAATGTGGAAAAACAAGAACAAATCACACTCGAAAGTATGAAGGAACCACAAATTTTTCGTTGGGAAGATAAAAAACCATTATTGGATCCTCAATTGAGATGAGAAAAAAAATAAAAATTATGATAATCATACCTTGAAACATAAATCTTGAGAAAAAGTTCAGATCTATTGAGAGATATGGGCAAGAAAATCTCACGTAAAAGGAGAGAGACGAGAGAGGAAGTGCGCTGATTTCCCGGAGAGGATTGCAGAGAGAAACGTAAATAAGAGGTAAATACTTATTTGCCCTTGTTCACTTTGTAATATGCGTATCTAGCTTTTTCGATCCAATGGCTGAGATTCATTCTTATTTCTTTCATAAGATCTCATTCTCACCAGAACCAAAACCTATATATATATATATATATATATATATATATTATTTTTTAATTTTGCACCTACAATCAAATAAACTGAATTAAAAATAAATTAAAACAAAGCTCGTGAACAGAAACAGAAAGAACATCTTAGGACGGAGGGAGTATCATACGTTCAAATTTGTAACATATTACCTCAAACATACACAAAGATGAATTCTTTTTTATTATCTAAAATTAGTTTTTTTTATATATTTATTTGGGTGATTTATTAATTGAGTGATTTTGATTTTTTAACACTTTATTTTTTCCAAAAATTTTCAGTTTCTTTAAAAAAAAATTCTCCTTGCAAAGTCTTCCAACTTCTTTCAAGCTTTTCTAACAGTCAACTCTGTTTTAACAACCCAAACAAACAGAGTCTAAATTAAACAAATGCTTAAAATAATATAATGAAGTTATGTGGAGTATTTAATTACTAAAAAAATCTATTTATTAGAGAAGTCCATATTTTAAATTTGGACATAAGAACTTTGTAAGCGTCCTCAATTCCTATTATTAATTAGGTGGGCATTAAGAATTTACTATTCTACCAAACACGTGGTGCCACTACCAGGTCAGGTTTGAGTGAGTTTGACTCATTCGATTTTACACTAAAAAAAAGTCAAATGACATGTCTAAAGATAAGTCCCACACTCCCACCCATTGAACACACAAAAAAATTGTAATCCGCAATATTTTTTATCAATGAAAATCACCACACTACTATCACACTAGCATAAAATATCATTGTATGTTTTTGAAGTACAAAATAAGATACAAGTTTTTGTCTACAACAAGATCTAATTGATGTTATCTACACATTATCTACGACGTCATTTTGGGCAAGGGCTAAGAGCACTGGAAATACGTTTGAAGCTCCGGGACCTCAAAATTTCTCTCTCTGCCACGTTAGCTTTAACTTACCTCACAGATTCACTGGAAATGGGTTTGAAGCCCCGGGGCTTCAAATGGGGCTTCAAACCTTCATTTTTTACATTTTTAAATATACATCTTCTAAAATTAAATTAATAAAATGTAATTAATTTATTATTTAATTATATTGAAACACGAATAATAAAAAAAATACATTCATTAAATTTAAAGAAATTAAAACGACAATAATTTAAAATTTAAAAAATTACATTCATTAAAATAAAAAAAACGACAATAATAAAAAAGATATATTAATAAAAAACTAAGGTAAATTATATTTCGCCTTGATCTCTCTTTGTCTTTGCTCGTAGATCATCCGTCTGAAACCCGATAACGTAGAAAGGTCGGTTTCCATGATTTTGATCTCGTCCTCCTGCTCCTTTAGCTTCATCTCCTTCTCCTTTAGCTTCATCTTCTCTTCTTCTCGAAGATTGAACACCCGAAGTTGTTCAACCATTGTCCGACCGATTTCGTCACGAGAAGAAACGGAAACAGAGCCTGACCCTCCCGAAGCCGAGGCAATGGATTTTGCCTTCTTTCTTCCGATCGGCCGTGGAATGAGGTCCTCGTCATCGGAATCCGCAACATTGAAGGGAGGCATTTGTTCGGACGAACCGATATTGTCGTCGACCTCAACCTCGGCGTCGACGGAGGATCTTTTCTTTGACGATCCGCCGTCGAGATTGTTGAGTTGTTGCCACTTCGGAGAACGGCTCAAAATCCTCCAAAGATCAATGGGCACCTTGCCTTGGTGCCCGTCATCTTGATATCGGGTCGTGGCAAGCCGGAGATTATCGGCGTCGTTCGTCCCGCTCCTCCGGGACCGGGCGCATTCCTCGTAAACTCCGACAAACTTTCGGACTTTACGGTTGATGTGGCTCCATTTGGAAGTGAGTTGGTCCCGGGTACGGGATGAGCCGTCCTTGTTCATCGCCGTGAAGAACTTCTCCTCGATACGATCCCACATCGCATCCTTCGTTTGCTCCGAATCTTTAAAATAGTATAACACGAATTTTTTTATGACAGGATTAAATATAATTTTATATAAATAAAAACATAAATATACTAGAAAACATATAATTTTTACCAATGATAGGATCCTCGGAGACGTCAACCCAAGCCAACGCCAATAAGCACTCCTCCTCTGGCGCCCACTTTTGGATTGACCGTGCTGCCTCGGTCATCGTGCCTTTTGCTTTGTGGCTTTTCCGGTGTGTACTTTTTTTGGAGCCGGATGGTTCCGGTTGAGTCTCCAGAACCGAATCTCGCTCAACGTACCCCGATTGTTACGTCTCGAACATCGGCGGATGATTTCCGAATTCCTTGAAATACCACATCGCGGCATCGTGAGGCTCGAGATTGTCGGGTAAGAAACCGGAGCCGGAAGGATTCATGTTCAACAGAGAGGGGGGAGTTTGAAATTGAAGAATGTGTGAAGAAGATTGAAGAAGATTGAAGGTGTGAGAATGGGAGGGGGGAGTTTGAAATTTATAAAAAAATAAATTAATTTTTTTTGTTTACAGCGGCTAAATTAGCCGTTAGGGGGGAGGGGAGTTGCGTCAAACGAGTGACGCCGAACGAGTGACGCCCGGATCACGCCGATGGGGGGGCGGTGTTTAACGCCCCCCGGCGTTAAAACCGGCGATCACGCCGGTAGGCGTGATGTCCATTAGTCCATTACCGAGTTGGTATATATATGGTACATCCAGATGTATCTAGAAATAGGTACATCCAGGTACTACTTATTCTGAAATAAAATAGTATCCATTCTCGTATAAATATAAACATTTATTTCGAAATACGTATTACTCATTCTGGAAAAAGTAGTACTCATTTTAAAATAAAGAAGTACTCATTTTTACACATTTGTCTAATATAATTATAATAAATAACGTAGTGTTCATTCTTAAAAAAAACAATACTCATTCTTAAATAAGGAAATGTTCATTCTGAAATATAGTATTGTTCAATTTTTTCACAATTAAAAAGTTCAATACCATCATCAACTTCTTCCTCTATTCGATTCGTCCCTACTCATTTATACACTCTGAGCATGGAGAATTTAAAACCCAGGTTTATTCATGTTTGTATTGAATAAGAATATGATAATTCTCATAAGTGCTGGTACTCCTTCTCAAATCTGCCGGTACTCATTGTCATATATAACAGTTCTTATATATGTTTTGGGCATTGAATAAAAGTTTGCAAAATTTACAAAAATACCAGGCTATACCTAAACGAATGTACAGCTGAGTGTACCGTATAATTTGCCGTCCATTACCTGTGCCCTAAAAGCATTGGTGTCATCTTCAATCCTTCACCGCAACCGCCTCCGGATCTCTGTCCTCCGGTTTCTGCCAATCTGGGCAGTCCAATTTGACGGCCCTCCCAGGAGGAAAATAAATCCGTAATTCATCGTCCTCCTTCCTGCTCTATATTCTACTCCGTATATGCTAAATTTGATCGTCAATAAAAGAAACATTATAATCTTCTCTATACAAAAATCTTTTCATTACATTGCAAAAGAAACTTAAAAAATTACACAGTATATATTCTTCTTCTATCCAAATTTAAATCGTTTGTTACGGTTTATAATATTTGACAGAAATTATTTTAATACTATCTCTATTCCTGAGTATTTGTCTAGTTTTGACTTTTTACTGTCAAACATTTTCAACATTTGAACTTTTATTAAGAATGGTGTTAGCCGCACCCGCTAAAACACTAAATACACTCGTCAACTAAATGCACCCGCATATATTATTATGTTATTATTCAAAAAAGTTATATAACTTTATTATGTAAAAAATCATTATAAAAATCTTTAAAACTATTCATCATTTGTTTCATTTATTACTTTTCAAATAAAATAATACAGAGTATATATTAGTTTTAATTTTAATTATAAAATTTTGGCCCCCCTCTTCTTTTAATTTTTCATTAATCAAAATTAGTGTTTATCACCACCCTTTAATTAAATATAATTTATAACATATATAGATTAGATAAAATAATATTTTGAAAATATTACTCGGAACAAATGTAATAATAGTATTTTTGTAATAATATATAATATAAATTTATTTAATTAGTTGTTAAAGTTCGTCAATTTTGATTGCAAAAGGTCAAAATTGGACAAGTAATCAAGGACGAAGGTAATATAATTTATTTGAGAATTGGAGCAGAATTAAAAAAAAATGCATATTCAAAAAACTACATCAAAAACTCAACAAAACAAAATGTGACATGATTATACGGAGTATTATTTTATCAAATGAGTAACAAAAATAGGAAATGAAAGTAAATGAAGTTTGAACCTATGATAGTAGGCAAATTCTATTTTCTTAATAAGCTTACTACTTAAATAAGCATTTCTTTTTAAAAAAATAAAAAAAGATTTTCTTTTGTGAGAAGGTCTACAAAATTTGTATGCATCCAAGGTGCACCAGAGAAGCAACTCATGATAGTAAAGGGACAGCTTACTTTAGGATGAGGTGAGTTTAAAGTAGTCATATAAAAAAATGTGCATGGAATTTAGGGTGTGCTCTCAGATGGCCAGGCCATAGCTGTCAAGAGATTATCCACAAATTCGCAACAGGGAGAAGTTGAATTCAAGAATGAGGTGATTTGTGTTGCAAGGCTACAACACAGGAATTTGGTCAGACTCCTTGGCTTTTGTGTGCAAGGAACTGAAAGGCTTCTCATTTATGAGTTCTTGCCCGAATCAAGTCTCGACCACTTGGTATTTGGTTAGTATATATCCTTTTCTGAAATATACAATTCAGATTGACTCCAAGGTGGTTAAATGGTGATATTCTTCATATCCATTACACACCCCATTAATTCTTGTGTTTCAAAACTATTGACTGTATAATACTCCATAGATGCAAGCAAGCGTGGAAGGTTGGATTGGGAGACGCGCCGGAAGATCATTGTAGGAATAGCACGAGGGCTTCTTTACCTTCACCAGGATTCTCAGTTTCGGATCGTTCACCGCGATCTCAAGGCCAGTAATGTTCTATTGGATGAGGATATGAATCCTAAAATCTCAGATTTCGGAATGGCAAAGTTGTTCGAATCAAACGATCAAACAAGAGACACCACTAGCAGGATCGTTGGCACCTAGTAAGCATAGTTACATTTATATATTTTCCCTTCCATTTTATCTTTGCTGTGTGTCTGGTCTTTCTTTTTACCATGTGAATGAATGATAATGTATAAAACTGCAGTGGCTATATGGCACCGGAATATGCAATCCACGGTCGATTCTCAACCAAATCAGACGTTTACAGCTTTGGTGTGCTGTTGCTCGAAATAATCACAGGTGAAACAATTAGGATCTTCCGTGGAGGCGAAGACGAACAAGATCTTGTTAATTATGTAAGCCTAGCTAGCTAATAACCTACCTGCTGAATAATTTTAGAGCCCATATTGGATGAGCACAGAAGAAATCTAAATATGGCTTGATTTTTGAGTGTTTGATGAAATGTAAATATGGCTTGATTTTTGATATCTTTTGATTTTGGAAGATATCAAATCAGGTGTTTTGATATCTTAGCTTAGCTTCCACAACTGCTTTTCAGATGTTCACCTTCCTTTGTCAATAACAACCGTCATTTCAAATTTCATCAAACACTTTCATTTTAGAACTCATATCATTTCCTCCGGATCTCATCAAAGTCCATATCATACCAATCATGTTTTCCTCACCAAATGGGTTCTTATTTAGTAACCCATTTCTCCATTCTTTTTAACAACACACATCAACACATGCCATTTCTTTTTCCGGGACTAAGGGAGTATGTACACTTTTGTACTAAATCAATGTTTTTTGCTTTGGTTTTTGCAGGCATGGTCAATGTGGAATAAAGGGACAGCGTTGGAACTCATTGATCCCACAATGCCAGTGGCTGGTTCAACCAGCGACGTAACGAGGTGCATCCATATTGCATTGCTGTGTGTGCAAGAAAACGCCGGGAACAGACCGACCATGGCTTCGGTTGTTCTCATGCTCAGCAGCAGCTCCCTCGCCCTCTCAAGACCGGAAAGGCCGGCGTACACCCTTCACTCCAAGACCCATCAATATTCGTCATTGTCTTCTTCCCATATTTCTCGCTCTGCTTCTTCCAGAAGTAGTGGCCAGGATGATGACAAGAAGAGTTCTAGGAATCAAGTTTCTATATCAGAGTTTGAACCTAGATAGTTTGGTTCATGGCACAATATTGTAATAGAGAATGTCAATAGAGTTAATAAAAAAAAGTTTAACTAGTTTTTAGTTTTGGTGCACAACTAAATAAAGCAAAATGACTTTATAAACTCCTTACTTTTTTTATTGCTTGCACTTCTATCAATAGTGATGCAAGTCATGTAACATATAGTCAATATTCAATACAACTCTTTACATGCATCATAAAAAAACGAAAAACAAGATGCTTTATGTTTTAATCATGAGGGTCAAACTGCTTAAATTCGGCCACTTACCCTGCAATGGGGAGAGCTTTGGATGCACGAGGTTTATGTTGTTGTACAAATATTCTTTTTGTTCAATATTTTCATGTTGTTATCTTCACTTTTATCTTATTTGTTGTTTTAAACTCTCAGGCCATGTTTTCTCAATTTTTTTACTTATTACTTATTTTTATTGAAATCACATCGGATCAGAAACAACTTTAAATATAAATACATTCAGTTTTGATCAGGTCAGATTAGATCAGATCAGAACTTATTCCAATCAGATACAAATTATCTACATCAGGTGAAGAAAAACATCGCCTTAGCAATGACATATAATTTTATTATGTATGATATGAAGTATTTTAATCTAATTTCAATCGTTACTCCTTTTGTCTTTAAATGTTTATCTAATTTTGATTTTTTTGCACTAAATCAAGATTAACCTATGACATATAGTTAAAATCTTTTTATCGTATATTAGTTAGATATAATGATAGTTTGAAAATAGTTTGCCAACAAAATTTAATAAACTTATTTTCTGAATCAATATCTAGTATCAATTTTATTTAATTTATAGTCATAGTTTGTTAATTTTGACCATAAAAATCTAAAATTAAACAAATACTACTAGACAAAAATATTACTCCCTTTGTGATATAAAAAGATTCTACATTTCTTTTTCATTCTTTCCAAAAAAAGTTTCACTTTTCATTTTATAGAAAAAGATTATGATGCTTATGATTCCACTACTCTTTACAATTTACATCACATTCAATCATACAATTTTATTTTATTTAGTCTCCGAATGAGACCTACTTGTTTATTTTTTTAAGTTCTAAGGAGTATTTGTTACGGAGTAAAAGTTAAAACGAAGGAAATGTAAAATAAAAAATATTTTTCCTATTTTTTTCCATAAAAATGAAAAAAACAAAGAATTTGTATGGGACTCTTACACAATACACAGTGCGCACATTCGGCTCGTTTCTTATTACGAGGACGATTGTTTTTTAAAAAAAAAGCAGAAAAATGCAAAAACAAGCGTGAAGCGACGCCACCGCCGCCGCCGGGAGTCTCAATTCCAAAGCAAATCTGAGCAAATCCGACCACCCAATCCACTCGCTGCCACAAGTGAATCGCCGGATTCAAGCCGGCCGACGCATCCCAAACCACGGCTCCGACTCCCTTTATCCGTCTGGCGTGCATCTGAATCAGCTGCTCGCACTGCTCAACGCTTCGCCTCTGCCTGGAAAGCTCCATTCCGAACTCCGCCGGAACATGTCACTATGCGTGTTCCACCCGCCAATTCTCTCAAGGTTCGGCGTTTGAGCGTTGCTGAATGTTATTTCTGTAATTATGCTCTTCCAAACCCTCATAATTGACATCTTCATGCTGTGGCTTAACTATGTGTGCTAAATTTCACTATGATCGTGTGAGATTTTGCTCTTTCTCTGTATAATCTTGAGGTCTCTCGTGGGTTATCTCACCATTTCAAGATCTGTGCACGATTGCACTGTGTGTATGAGCCATTCATTCTGGTTTGATGCAGGTGTGATTGTTGCTAGCCATAATGGACTCTCATCTGCCCTTTGAAGTTGGTCAAACTGCTGAAGCAAAATCTTTCAAGCAGGGATTTCGCGGTGCATGGTTTCGTTGCAAGGTATGGATTGGTCCATCTTTCTGTCATGACAAATGCTCAAGTTTTTTATGTCTAGGCCTAATCTGTTACTGTTAGGAAATTGTTAATGACACATTGTCTCATTAAGTGAATCAGGTCAAGATTTATAACATATTAGAGTATATCAGAGTCAGAGTAAGGATATTTCTAAAGGGTCACCGGTCATCATAAGAATTAATTGATGCTTATGATTTCCATAAATTATGCTTGGTGGCGGTGGAAAATCATGAATGCGTAAATTTTAGTGATAATCATAGGATTATATTGATTTTTTTAGAAGTAAATTAATTCATCTTTAACAATTACGGAGTATCACATTATTTCTCATAACTTGAAAATGAAAATCCATTCTTGTAATACTAGTCCTATGTGTTTGGAGCTAAAAGAGTCGTAGACAATGTTTCATTTTCAGGTAAATAATGGACTAAATAAAATCGACACATTAAGCTTTCTTAGCATTTTACTTTCTATGAAGTTTGGAGTCGTAAATACCAGAATGCATCAATGGTCTGGCGGAAACATGCTCTCCATTTTACATGGATAATGCTGCAATCATCTTGACATGAGACCCCTACAGAGTTGGGATTATATTGGGTTATTGTTATATTTTTTTATCTAAATATACTTTTATGCTATTATGATCTTTTGGTTTTACAAGTTTCAAGAATACACATTACTGAGATTAATTGTTTGATGTATCTGTGTGATATGAAAGTTGATATACGCCTTGTTCTGTTCTGTTTTGATTTTAATATCTCTTTTCAATTTTCAGTTGGCACTCTTGTATATATGGTCTGTAAGGTTATTGTATTACTTCTTCTCTGGGATATGATTTTTGGCTTCTCAGTGCATTTAGATTTCTATGTATATGTTTGTGTCGCAGATAAAGGAGATAAAGAAAAGGATAGGACATTGGAATGCATTGTTGGAGTATTATGATTTTCCTGATGAAAGTAAGTTGCACTTTCAAACATGTTCAGTCCATATTTGTCACGGTGCCAGTGTACTACCAGGTTGCCTAGTCGGCTAGGTGACCACCCAGGCAACAAGTCATAAATGAGAATTGTAGTACATTAGTTACACTAATATAAGTATATCACATCATCTGTTGTAATTCATAAACATCAGAGTTCAAAGTCACCGTATAGTTTACTCACAAGTATATGCCCTCAAAGTGGCATTTTGTTATGTGATTGGTGTTTTTGTTTGATGCATAAGGGCCTTGGGATATGATGGGATAAAGCAAAATAAAATTTTAAATTGTCTATGCTTCGTTTAATAGTGAAGTAATAGTAAGTCAATGCGTACATCGCCCCTTCTTTTATTAGTGAACTAGCAGCTCATCATGGGTCATCTGGAAACAGCCTCTCTATGTTTTGAACATAGGGGTAAGACTAAGTACATCCGGCCCATCTTACCCTGCAATGGGCGGGTGCCTTTGAGGCACTGGGGTAATGTTGTCGTCGTTGTTGTTTGCTTAAGGGCCTTTATTTTGATAGGATTGCTCACTCAAATGTGTCATCAATTAGTCATTCTTCCTGCATAAAAGAATATGCACCAGACATGAGAGGCGAGAAAGTGTTGATGGTGCCAAGTGCTGAACAGAATTCATTGATCTTCAGTTCTTCATTTTTCTTTCTTTCTGTTTAACACTTTAATTATTCAAGAACCCCTCACATTTATTTTGTTATCACCCACCTTTTGAAATTACTTAATGGTCCTTTTTATTTGGAATTTTTTTCCAAGCATTTATTGTGTTTTTCCAGTTTGTCTCTACTAAATATTGTGGTCATATACATTTTAAAGTATACATTTATTATTCATAATAAGGATAAAATTGAGATATATAATATTTTTAAGAACACGAGAGTTTCCACTTCTCTTGCTTTGTGTAATTTAGTCAAATGTGGTGTATAATATTGTCCAAAAGAAGCAATATTTATATATATTACTTTTTGATGTGATTTATTGGCAGAGTTAACATGGATGCGGCTGTATCAATATCCCCTATATCGTGTTGGAAAATCAAAGCAAGCTGAAAGGCAATTGATGTTGCGGCCTTCATATCCACCAATCTACTCTGGAAATGAAGTATCTGATGAGAGTTCAGTACCTGAAGTGAGAGTAATTATTCAAGGCAAGTGGAAGGTGGGGGATTTGGTGGATTGGTGGTCCAGTGGCTGTTTCTGGTCTGGAAAACTGACCAAGTTACTTGCCAATGCACAAGCTCAAGTAAGTTCATTGTTATTTTGAAGTTCGTGCACTATGTCTTGTGTATTTATTTAACAAGTGCAAACATTCGGTACTACATATGCTTCTTGGTACCTTTCTTGGACCAGAAGATTCATCTAGTCCTTGTTGACACATTTTAAATGCTTATAGTTGATCCCACAAGATCACATTCTATGCTTCACATTTTGGCCGTGCAATACCAATTATGTAATGGACACAATAATAGGAAATATCTCAACTGATCTCGTTTCATGATATTTTTTGTGCATGTGAAGATATCCCTATGTAGATGATGGCTTTAGCAATTTTCATGTCATTATTCCTTCTTATGATTGTTAGGATAGGAAGGTCATTAGCTTAAAACATTGCCAATACAGTTTTTTCATGAACTTTGTGTTATTTAATGTTATACATTTCATGGGCACTGTAAATTTACTGCCACCAACACCCATCAGTTGGCATAGAGGTGCTAAGGTGGTGGTGGTGGTGATGATCATTTGATCCCAGTGTATTTTGGCTGACATTGTCTTTTTATGTTTTAGATTGAGTTGATTCCACCTCCCGTCGGTGAAGGTACAACTTATGACGTGTTTGTCAAAGATTTACGCCCATCTTTAGATTGGTCTCCAGAGCTTGGTTGGAATTTGCCTTCACCTGTTAGTTCCCTACCTTTAACCTCCCATACTTAAGTTTTGTTTGCATACTTGGAAATATTTGGGAATGATAATAGGAAGGAAAACATTGGCTAAACCTGAAGGAAAGAAAATACTCCCTCCGTCCATAAAAAACTTCCCGGGTTTACCAGGCACGTAAATTTATGCTGGACAAAAAGGTATTGACTTTCCTAGTGTACCCCTCTACTATTCTTCAATAAACACAGCTCTTCTTCGCATCACAGCAAATTAGACGCCACAACCTTTACCATTTTCCAATCAGCATCAAAGCTCCTCCCCTGTCAACAACAAATCAGACACCAACACCTTTACCGTTTTCCAATCAACAATGCAGCTCCTCCTTCGTCAACAACAATTAGACACCACATATTTACCCATCATCCTCCGTCAACAAGAAAGCAGCCATGGCTCTTAATTTATTTATTTTTGTTTGTTTCTCTCCCAATCTTCGTCCATGGTTCTGACTGCTGCAGGCTTCGTTCAAATTGTAGACAAGATTGGCTTGTTCTGATCTAGCAAAGATGAAGCACACTCCTTCAGATCTGACAGATATGAGGCGCGTTGATTTAGATCTGACACAGATAGGTCAAATTTCTTCATATTCGGAAGATCTGGCAGAGGAAGAATAGGGGAGGAGAGAGAAGAAGGCGGGTGGGGAAGAAGAAGAAGGCAGATGGGGAAGAAGGCCATGGAGGAAGAAGACTTTGGTAGAGGGAGATGAAGAAAATGACAAAGGAAAGAAAGATGGCAGAGGTATGAGTGTGACAATGAGAAAGAGAAGATAGCATAGAGGACAAGGGTGAATTAGTCTTTTGAACATTTTATTAGCTAAAAATGAAAATTGGAAGCTAATTAGTGGACGGACCGAAAAGGAAAGTGGGAGGATAAAAAATGGACGGAGGGAGTATGAGGGAAAATTTATGATACTAAAACTCAATAAATTTATTTTATATACTCCGGTATTATGTAATACTGCACACACTTAATAGATTGGATTTGCTATTGTTGTTGCATTAATTGATACTTAATTTTATTGATTTTATTCTACTTAAAGACAAAATAACACATTTCATTATCCATTGCATTCCCTTGGTAAAACCAAATGGTATAAAATAAATTATTTTCCAAAGCAACTTTTCTTTTCCCTAGCAATTTTCTATGATCCAAAAATACCCTTATGGGAAGGAGAACCTGATTTAAATGTTTATCCTTTCTCTCTTGGCACTACACATGTCCTTTCTGAAGATTGTGGTATTTCCTCATATCTATCCTACATGTTATCATTGTCCGTTTAATAAAGTTATTTATGATCAATGTAGGATGGTGATGCGGTCTGTTCATGTGCTCAGCTTATCCAAGCTACTAATATAGGTATGTTTTGAGAAGAACAAGCATTTCATTTAATTCGATTGATGGAAATTCATGCCTGGTTTGTGAGCGTGACAAGACATACTTAGATACAAATTATATGAAAACATTTACCGGCTTATAAAGACATACTTAGATATGGAGTTTATTCACTGACCACTACTGTACATTGCTTTATCAAGCTGTCCGTAAAAGTCAGGTGTTAATAATGTTTAGTTGGAAATATAAAGCAAACATGATCAGCATAACCTTAATCCCAATTATGATGTGGTCAGTGACATGAATTAAAAGTGTCAGTTAGTTAGTTTTAGTTGTCTAAATTAAATTAATACTCCATATTGCAATATATTAAAAAAGAATAACGAGAGGAAATTCCAAACCCGTCATCTTCATAGCCATAAAGTTGGTTTCCACTAGAACAGAAATTAGATGGCATTGAGACTTGAGATAGCTGTTCTAGCTACGCCACATTGTCAAATCAAGAAGCACATCATGTAACAAAAATGAATGATAGGACATTGCACATATTGCAAATAAATTTGAATGCATGTATACATATTGCACATCTTAATTAGCCGTTTATATAGATCATGGAGAATGGTTATGCAGTCTAGTACAAATGACCTTGCATTTTTTTTAGAAAATAAAGCCCGGGTTCAAAGATAACAACTGCATCATTTTGTTTTGTTTTTATTTATGCAAAATTGATTGTATAGAGATACAACACGATGAAGATGAGATGCCTATGGATCTTGGTGGACATGGTGATGCACACAAAGGGCATGACACAGAAAAGGAGTCGAGAAGTACATCAGGGTCGAATACACACATTTATGAGGATTCTGGTAACAAAGAAAGCAGTGATGAAGCCACTGAAGTTGATGGTCAACCCGATGAAGACCTGTATTATGCAAAGTGTCCATTGAAGAAGTTCAGAACCGGTGAAGGGGAACGTCTAAATTCCACTGGGTCAGACACTTTGGAAGCAGCTATTATGGATTTGGAAGAAATGAGAAACAAGATTAAGTGGCTTAAACAGATGTTGGAATCTGGAGATCCTCGATCGAATCCTCACAACTCATGGGAGTTTGTGGAACACTTTGCATCATCTACTCATAAATGAATGGTTTCATATAGGAGTGAGCGTGATATGGTACAAGGCAAGACTTACTTCGTACAGGTACCTTACCAAACATTTCTGTTCAGTATGAGATTTTATATCATCTTGAAATATCCGTTCGTCTATCTCAATTTCGGTACAAATTAGGATAAATACTTATGTATCCATCCACTTTACATACAACATGAATATTACAATATGTCTTATATTTTTAATTTGGTGTGGTGGATGGTTAAGACACATTATTTAAGAAAGGATGGACTCTAGCTAATCTTAAAGCCCAGCCATACAAGAAGACCCTTTTGTTTATTAGTTCTTCCCTTTGCAAAGTTGAAGCAGCTTGTCAACTGCATCATCAATCACTTTGTCACCTCTCAACTTTATCCTCTCACTCAATTCCTTAGCCTTGGAATTCATTGAAGTTTCTAGTGCTTCTCCACTCTTCTTCCCTACCATCACAACCTTCCTCAAAGCTTTTGCCAATTCCTCTCCCTTTATCTCCCCATTCTCCCCTTTCACCACCTCCACTCCAACCCCAATCTCCTCCACCAGCCTAGCATTTATAGGTTGGTCTAGATGTATTGGCAAGGCTATTATTGGTACCCCAGATGCCAAACTCTCCAACACGCTGTTCCACCCGCAATGACTCAAGAACCCGCATATTCTTTTGTCGCTCAAAATCTTGGCTTGTGGGACCCAACCCTTGACTACTAATCCCTTGTGTTTCATCCTTTCAAGGTAACCTCGTGGCATGGCTTCTTCCTTGCTCGTGTTCACTCCTGTCGGGAACTTTAGTGACCATATGAAGTTCACCTCGCTTAGCTCTAGACCACGAGCTATCTCTTCAATTTCTTTGTTTGACATGTAATACTCACTTCCGAATGATGCTAATACACACGAAGACTCTTCTTTCTCTTGTAACCATTCCATGATCTCCTCGTGTTCTTCATCATCCGTTGTTTCTCGAATAAGGGGCCCTATTGGGATTACTTCCTTCTTGGTCAAAAGGGAGAGATATTTGATGTACTTTTCTTCGATCTCGCTACAAGTATTGATCAAGATGAAACTCTTAGACAAATGGAGGGATCTGAAGCACAACACTCCAATGTCTATAACTTCTTCCTCGTTGGCGCTACTACACATCTCAATAAATTTTCTCATCTCGTGGTTGTCGTGACAATGAATAGGCGAAAAACGGAACTCTTCACACTTTATCTCGTCCACATGGAACAAGTGTAGAAAGTGTGACATCGTTACCGCTCCAGTCGTGATGAGATGAACGGAAGGAATGTTGAGGGAAGAAGCATGAGAAGCCGCCCAAGGTTGGAAGCCATCGTATATGAGCAATTCGGGTTTTAGAGTTGAAATGATGTCATAAAACACTCTCTTTGTCTCTTGAAACACCATTTGTAGCACCGTGATGAGGTGCGGTGGCAACGATGTGGTGGTGTGATGGTGAGGCGGAAGCTCCGGCGAGGATGGGAGGTGGAGCTCAAGAAGATGTATTGAGGGAGAGATATGTGGGTGGTGTTTGGCTAAGAGTTTGCTTATTGATTCAAGAATGATTGGTGAAGAACATAAGTACACTTGAACATTTCTTTTGGCTAGTTTCTTGGCTAGCTCCAAATATGGTGTTACATGCCCTTTTGCAATCCATGGAAACAATAGAACTTTATTTAGTCTTTGTGTTGCCATGTCTCAATCCTTAAACCTCTCCTTTAAATCTCATTTAGGGTGATGCATTTGTCTCTTTATATACACACGAAGAATGAAGATGAAAAATTTTATATTCTAAAAAAAGAATAACACCATCCGCGAGGACTCCACAGAACCGGCTAGATGGTAAAAAAAATTTCTAATTCACTACTCACCTCCATAAATCATCAATATGGGTTGCTGAGAATTAAATTTGTTCAACTCCATAAATCATAGGGAGAATTAAATTGTTCAACTCCATAAATCATAGGGAAACTTTTGGGTAAAACTTATACTCGTGATTGACTTTTGTTTAATTAGTTCAATTAAATAATAAATCTCGAGCAAAAACAATAACTCTATGTGTTTAATGAGTTGAAATGTATGAACAGATACCAAATTATAATAAAGTTATCAGTGTCCAAAAAAATTAATAAATCTAGTTCAATTAATTACATAGATGCAATTTAATTGGGTACGTACTTTTCTGTTGAAAAGAAAGGGAATATTAGAATAAGAACTTTGGACGTAAAATAAAGTATTTCAACTAACCTCATTAATTGTGGTCACGATAAGTTCATGCAAAGTCTTATGTGCCTTTTTATCATTCCTGAAGAATCCTCAGAACCAGTCGGACAGAATTTGAAAGATTTAAATTGAATTTTAATTCCAATTTATATTACAAAGAGTAAAGTTTGTACCTAGAGTCCATTTGTTTAGCATAGTTGCTTCAAATGAGTCACATCATAGTTGTCAAGGAATAGGACTCGACTACTACCCCTTAAGCACCCTCTCATTGCTGACCGCGCAACACCCACGGGCACTGCCCCGGCCTCTTTCTGGTACTTCCTTCGTCCCACAAAACATTTCTCATTTATATTAAAAAGTCACTTTTATCCCTACTAATTATTAACTTACCAATTACATCAGACTTTTTGTTATTAATCTATTCATCATATCCTATTTTTATCCATCACATCCAAGGGCATTTTTGGAAAGTCAATACTAAAATACATTCCTTTTAAATCCTTTAAAAATCAAAACCAAAAACGTTTTGTGGGACAGATGAGAGTTTAAAGTAGCATTTCACATCAACTCTACATCCTTCTTAGCTTGCCATAGCGAATGTCAAAGCTCGTTGATGATGTGTTGTTTGTCCACCGGAGTCGCAACCATAGTCCAAATTTTCATCGTTGGTCGGAAATCCAAGTCCGTAGTAATAGTCATTTTGTTGTGTTGTACGTCATGCTGACACGAGAATACATGGCTGGATCTAGTGTCGATGCAAAAATTATACTATTTATCTTCAATTTAACACCAGCATGTCAGAAGACTAGAAAAAGAACTATTTATAGAATGATACATATAAAAGAAAGACCACAAATGTTACTTTTGACTAAAATTTCTATTTTTAAAGCACTCACTATAGAATTACCCTATTTTTCACCGGTATAAGTGTTTAAAAATTTACTCTCTCGCCAAAAAAGGGGCTCAATTTGACTCAGTACAAGTTTCAATGAAATGAAAATTACACTATATTATTCCAGTTTTTCGTTACAGAAATTATTTGATATTGTTTTAGTATGTAATTTGAATTTTTATTTTTATACAATTTTATAAACAAAATTGTTTTAAAAAAGATGTGATTCTTTGCTTGTTGTTCGAAGTGATACGATAAATTTGAGACAAAGAGAGAGCACATGTAGTTTATGCAAATGTAATAAAAAATATTGTGAGCTACATAGAACTTTTTGTAAAGACTCCATATATAAAAGAGTTTAGGCATATATAGGAATCAAGACTCCAGATAAAAATAAATCTAACAAATACCGAGTACAAAAAAATAGAAATAAATGATGCATATATATAATATAAATAGCACTAAAACATAGTGACTTTTTCAATGTAGTATCGTATATTTTCATTTACCAATGTAGTACCATTATTTGATGTACACTGGTCATTATTCAAGTAAATGTTCACCGCCATTGGCATTGTTTAAACTAAATGTCATATATTACTAGAGATTGTTCTCGTCACTAGACATTATTCAAGTACTATTTAGAGAATAAAAAAATTTAAGTATTACATGGGGAAAAGACATACTCCCTCCGTCCCTGAAAACCCTTCTCCTTTATTTTTTTATCGCTCTCAAAAAGTTGTTCTAATTTTTATTAAAAAGTCACTTTTACGCATAAACCTGCCTACCACATCACATCTATTCGCTATTACTCTACTCATCAAATTCTACTTTTATCCATCACATCTAAGAACACTTTTGGAAACTCAACACCAAAATACACTCCCCTTAAATCTCTTAAAAATCAAAATCTCCTTTGTTTTTAGGGATGGAGAGACTATGTTTTAGTACTATTTATTAGTGCAAATTTCACTATATATATATACACACACACACACACACACACACACACACACATATATATATATATATACATACATACATACATACATACATACATACATATATATATATATATATATCATATATGAAGAGGTAGACAACCTTTTTCATAGTTCCCATGTTTTTCATACACCAGCTGCTACTGTGTAAAGTTTCCCAAAGTTATCTTCAGTCCATTTCAAACAGTGAAAAAGAGTAAAGAAGAAAAAGAGACTGATGCTCTTGGATTTAAGCTAGCTCTTGGACAAACAAATTAACCCTACACACAGTACCATTCTTTCATTCAAACTCTCTATCCATGCAATAATTACTCGTAATAATATTTAATTTCTGGAAATAATTGTGCATCCCATCCATATTCCATAGATCTGCTTTGCCCTCTTTCATTATTAGTCTCAGTGAAATAATGAGAATTGTATACATTCATTTCATTACTCATCAAATTTAGTCATTTGTACGTACATTATCTATAATCCAATGTGCAGCACAAAAACCTAATGTGTAAATTTTGTTTGACTTTCCAATTTTGCTCTTACATTATTGTATGGTAAGATAATAAGAGGAGTGTTGGGGGACTAAGACTTTGACATCAAATGCACATTAAGACCAATGCATTAAATATCGAGGAATGATAGAGGTACACCAAATGTTGTACCCCATTGATTCTAGCCATTGATTTCCTTTTTTAATTTTAATTTTTTTTCCCGCTCGTGCATTTGTATGGTGGAGATGGAGGGAGGGATAAATGGGGTACAAGATTTGGTGTACTAGTATTTTTAGTAATAAATGTCTGTGTGTGTTTGTATTGGTTTTGGTGTGTATTTGGCGTCAAATGTTTGGGGTTCCTCTTGTATTTTTGAGATAATAAGTAGTGCAAGACTACACAAACCTAAGAGTTTTAATATCAAAAAATTACTTCAGGGTACCCTGATTTTCTAATAATAAATCTAAGGTCTCACATTATTTGAAATATACTCTGGGGTGCCCTTGATTTTTTGGTAAGAAATCTTAGGTCTCAATTTTTCTAAAATATGCTTTGGGGTCCTTAAAGTTTTTAATATTATACTCAAAGGATACATTCTCTAAATTTAGGCGTTAGATTAGAAATTATTTTACTTTGAGAAATTAAAGAATTTTATTTAAATTAATAAAATAACGATTATCAATGTAAAATTTAGTATTTATCAAAGTAACAAAACTTTCAATCATATATAACGGTCAAATAGAGGAAATGTACCCTCGGAATACATTACTACAAATTTTAAGGATCTCCAAAGTATAATTTAGATAATATGAGACTTGAGAGTTCTTATCATAAATTAACTGTATACCTCGGAGTATATCTAAGATAATGTGGGACCTAGGAGTTATTATCAGAAAATCAAGGCTACCTCGGAGTAATTTTATGTTCTAATCCTAAAAAAATCCTTGACACTTCGAGTTATATTTTTTAATTTAATAGTTTCATAATTGATATAGAAAAAATTATATATTAAAAAAATACATAAAGAATCTATAAAATTGAGATGTGACCAGATTATATATTTGGGAGAGCTCACTAAATAAGAGCAACAAGTAATGAAAATATCAAAATAAGAGTATTTTTCTTTTTATAACCGATATAGGAGTTCACACCGTCACTACTATACTGCATGCCACAGGAGTTCTGCCGCCTGTCGCCAACTTGACCACCATTGACCGGTGATCCTCCACCTTCACACTACCACCATTATTCACATAAAAAAAGAGGATTGGAGTAGCCCTAATAATGATAGAAGAGCAAGGTGAGGGCAAAATCCCATCCATCATATATTGTATGTATGAAGGTTTGAACAATACAGTATATAGAAAACACTTACGGAGTAACATACCTTTCTACAACATCATTACGTTTGAATGTCAAACACAAATAAACGTAGTAACTATACTACTCGTAATCAACAACCTAGTACTACTACGTACTATACGCTACTAAGCTATATACTCTTAACAATTATAGCTAATTAGTAGCCATTCACAACAATTATTACTGTTAATTATTCTCTTTTTCTGCTTCTTCCCACAGGCGGAGAGGTGACAGCCCAGGAATCAATTTATAGTCCATTTGTCTAGCTATATCTATATGTATTCCTCTTTTTTTTTTTTTAATAAAAAAAGGGATACACCCGGTATAAAAATACTACGTAATTATTACGTAATGTTAATTAAGGACTGTAATTAAAGTGACTAATTATGAGGTTATTTTTAAATTTTCTGCTTACTTTATATTAGAGTATGATAAGATTAGTCATAATAAAAAAAATAACACCAAAATTATTTATTTTAAAGGTGCACGTTTTTTCAAACATGAAGGGTTTTATTATGAGACGGATGAAGTATAAAAAGTGACATGACTATATTATTTCTATCAAATATCATTGAGAACGTATGAATAAAGAAAAGTTACCGTCACCATTGAATAGTAATTAAAAGTTTTATCAATAATTAATTTTGATAATTTGCCTTCACAATTTTTAATAAAAATAAAAATTGGATGATATGGTTTGTTTGTTTTCTTTTTGCATATAGAGAGAGAAAAGATGTGGACTACTATAGATTTTTTTTTCCTATAATATTTTCTTGGAAAAATAAAGAAATGAAAAGATAATTATTCTCAAAAAAACTTAAAAAGAAAATTAAAGAAAAGTGTGAATGAATGATATTAATTCGTGGTGAAAAAAAGGAAAAAGTAATTATTAATTAATTTAATTGGAGGCTGGATAGATATGATGTGGGTGGGAGCCAAAGATGGTATGATCTTAAAATTATTTTGGTGGTTCTGAGAAAAAGTGGGTTTGAACATAGGATGAAAAAAAGGAAAGAAGATCTAATGCTTTGTGTTGATGAAATCTAAGGGGCTGCCTGACCAATCCCACTACTCATTACTCATCATTACCTAGCCACCCGGCCTCCTTGCATGCAAAAAGATGCATTTTTCAACTCTTTTACCTTTACATTTTTTAAATAAAATAAACAACTATTCATTCAATAACTCAGTAGTCGAATAACTTCTTTTCTCTTTTAATTTTATGGAATTTATAAAAATTGTATTTCTGTTTTGATTTTCTAAAATTTCTCTAGACTTGATTCGATTACTAAAGTAGAATATGATGTATAAATTCGCTGGTACTGAATAAACATAATATGATCGGTAAAGTAAAACTTAATATTGATAAAAATGATTTTTTAGTACGTAGTTACTGTAAAAACTTGTTGGGACAAATGAAATTAAAAGGAAAATCCTTTTAAGTATGTATGAAAATAATTATTAACTTGATGGAAATGAAAAAGAAAATAAGAGTACATGAATACTATGACACACATGAATATATATATATATATATATAGAGACACACACACACAAACACACATACTCCGGGGTATAAAAGAAGAAAACATATAAATAGTGAAAATTTGTCGTTATAAATGATTTAGTTATTGGAAATGTAAAAGAAAAAAAAAGGAAGTGACAGAAAGGTAGGACACATGCATCATAGTAATTAAGAGGCAGGGAGGAACATCCTCTGGAAGTGTTTCCTAGAATTAGCAAAAGGTATCAGCTGGCAGTACAATTTCGAACGTTTTCTACTACCCCACCCCCCAAAAATAGATCTCATTTATTTAATTAAATTGTATTTTAATTTCCAACTTTTTTCTATATATTTTTTATAATTATTTAATGCACCCCCCTCTCCCATTTCCTCCTCCTCGCTTTCATACTCTATTTTTTTCAATGGCTTCTGCTACCTGTCACCTCATCCCCCCACCCCACCCCACCCCCTACCCTACCCCCATCCCCACACCCATGCCTAATTAGATAATTCCCTGCCTTTGCCGGTCTTCTCTTCAATAATCTTCCTTTTGTCCCTAAAAACCATTCTTTGTTTTCATTTATCGGAGTTTATGAAAAGTGTTTACGAAAGTGAATGAAGAAGGCGTGATTGGTTTTTTGTTAAGAAGACACGGAGATTCTCCTAGCTTTCTTTAATAAAAAATGAAAGTAAATATTTTTTAAACGGATAAAAAGAAAAAAATAATTTTTTTTACTTACACTATGTTCGGTTCAAACAAATTATGGAAGAAAATTAAACAAAATGCAAAGGAGTGTGAGAAAATTACTAAAGCTTAAACCGAACTTATTTTGACTGGTGAAGGAGCGACGAGACCACTTCGTACTCCGGTTCTATTCTGAAAACTATAACTTGAAAAATATAGAAAAATAATTTATGCTTTTCTTAGATGTATATATATGTCGTCATCACATTGGCAAATTGGTCAGCAAGTCCCTTTAAAACCCAACTCTATCCATCCAGTCCCCCACCCCTCCCCAAAGAAAAATCTCCAAGTGAACTTATTACACACAAACACCTTCTCGATCATTTAATACCCTACCCTAGATATTTACTTTCTTGACATATTTTTTTTTCTTTTATGAACAAAAAAGGTGGCATTTCCATGGAGAGATTTATCAGTAGTAGTTCAAGTAATAACAGCAGGAGAAGCATGAAAGAGTTCAACAACAATGGAGGTGATTTCCTTGCTGGGTTTTCATGGCCGCCAAGGTCCTACACTTGCAGCTTCTGCAGAAGGGAGTTCAGATCTGCTCAAGCTTTGGGTGGCCACATGAATGTCCACCGCAGAGATAGGGCCAGGCTGAGGCACTCCCCACCACCCCCACAGCTGGAGGGTCACTACCCTACAACTACTACAACAACAACTCCTTCATCTTCCCCTCTTCTTCTCAACCTCAATCTTGACCCCATCCACACCACACCAACAAGCCCTAGCCCTAACCCTAACCCTAACCCTAGTTTCTCAACCACACTGCTGACGTCACTGCCCCCGTCGCCCCCGAGGACGAGAAGATTCCCGGGTTTTGTCCAGTCTTTCGTCCCCTCGTCGTCTGGCGGCGAAGTGGTGGCCGGGAGGTGGAGCACGGTGGAGGGCATCCCGGTCAACCGCCGCCACCACGTGGTGGCGGCGAACTATAGGGTGAAAGGGTACAAGAGTGAGGTTGAGGTGGTGATGCTGAAGAAGGCAGAGATTGGTAAAGTGGACTTGAAAATTGGGTTCAAAGAAGATTTGGACTTGGAGCTTCGTCTTGGATACACTTGATTTTATCAATTAATTAATTACTTGGTAATTAATTAATTAATTAATATGTGAGCCCTAGGTCATTCCTAAGGTATGCAGCATCTGATGTCTACTTTTGTGATGATTATATTTCATAATATATTTTTGGTTACTATAAAAAGTTGGATTATTAAATGATATATATATCTAATTAATTAACAGCTAGCTAGGAATATTGGAAGAACGGAGTTCTTCATCAGCAAGATGGGAGATAATCAATTTATTAAAAGAAGTAGTATATATTTTTGTAATTTGATGAAGAATTGAAGACTAGTAATCATTTGGTTTCTTGTTTTAATTAATTTGGTTTTTGACAGCCAGCTATATATATATATATATATATATATATATATATATATATATATGACATGAGTTCATAATGCTTCATATGTTCTTGAAATTGATTTGGATGAAATTGAATTTTCTAATTTCAATTAATATTTGGTATTAACAATTCCAAATTCATATATTTTTGTACTATCAAAAAGCAGGATTGAAATTAATGTCCTCAATTCTAATTTATTAGTTTGAATTCTGTGTATCGAATTTAACCTAAGTTCAATTGGTGTTTGTGGAGCCATATCTTTGAGGAAAAATTTATGACAATATATCCAGATTTTACATGAATATTTCAAGATTATATGAAGTATAATTTTTACTATGACTCAAACTTTTAATACTTTTACAATAACACTACAAGTGAATTTTTTAATGAAATACTCCCCCCTCCCGGAAAACATGGGAGTTTTGATTTTGAAGGGGAATTAAGGGGAGTGTATTTTGGTATTGAATTTCCAAAAATGTCCTTTGATGTGATGGGTAAAAGTATGATTTGATGGATAGATTATTAGTAAAAAGGTATGATGTGATAGGTAGGGTATGAAAAAATAAGGGGTAAAAGTGACTTTTTAATAGAAATGAGAAGTGTTTTTTGGGACGCATGAAAAAAGAAAAGAGAAAGTTTTTCTGGGACGGAGGGAGTATTTGCACTAAATAGCACTTAAATTGTTTTATTTCCTAAATAGCACTTAATAATGTCCATAATGGCCGGTGATGACAAATATTTATTTGAATAATGACTAATGGATAATGACTAAAAATGCTACATTGGGAAAAAACACATGTAATCCTATTTAGGGAAAGTCATTATGTTTTAGTGATATTTACGTAAATTCCTCAAACATTATTTTTCAAGGCGAACTAGTAATAATATACTCCCTCCGTTTCTTAAAACCCTTCCTCTTTCATTTTTTTGTTTTTCTTAAAACACTTCCCTTTTCTATTAAAAAACCACTTTTACCCCTACTTTTTCATACCCTACCTATCACATCATACTTTTTCACTAACAACTAAACTATCACATCTTACTTTTACCCATCACATCAAGGGCAAAATTGGAAAGTCAACTACAATTTAACACTTCCTTATTTTCTCCCAAAGTCAAAAGAGGAACTCTTTTGAGAAACGGAGGTAGTACATTCTTGGATTATTCGATGAAAATTTTAAATTTTGGGGAGTACTGACATACATTTTTCCTATTCTACCTTAAAATATACTCTGGATAAATCAAATATATGTAATGGTATTTTTAAATTATACTCCTTCCGTCCCAAAAAACCTTTCTCCTTTCTTTTTCCATCCATCCCAAAAAACAATTCTCATTTCTATTAAAAAGTCACTTTTACCCCTTACTTTTTCATACCTTACCTATCACATCATACCTTTTTACTAATAATCTACCCATCAAATCATACTTTTACCCATCACATCAAAGGACATTTTTGGAAATTCAATACCAAAATACACTCCCCTTAAATCCCTTCAAAATCAAAACTCCCATGTTTTCCGGGATGGAGGGAGTACAACAATTGATTGTTGGTTTAAAATTAAATTATAAAACAATTCAATCAACTGGTCCCACAATTTAAAATTAAATTATAACACAATACAATTTTCTTCACCGTAAAATCTTTACGCGCTCTAATGATATTTTGACTATTAATGTCTATATTTATAATGTATATGCATAATTCATATAAATCTAATACTCTCTCTGTCTAACTCCTCCTTTCTTTTTTTCTTTTTCCACAAAGTCTTTCTTTCGATTAAAAAACTAATTTTACCCATACTAATTCTTACCTTAATTCTTATTTATATCTATACATCATATCTTATTTTTAGCCGCCACATCAAGGATATTTTTGAAAAATCAATACCAAAATTTTCCTCTCTTAAATTTCCTAAATGTCAAAATGGAATAAACTTAAAGGGATGGAGGACGTACAGCTTTTCTAAGACTACGTTTTGATACTACATTCTATCTCAAAATTAGTATAATAACAGAAAAGCTAAAATATAACTTAATGTGTTTTTTATGCTAATGATGGAGAAAGATCATTGTTAAAAGAGTATCTCATATCGAAAAAGTGTGAATAAAATATTGGGTATATAAGCTCTTATGTTGAACTAACTAATCGATTAGATTCAATCTTTTAATGTGGTTCAATCCATTTTATGACTTAGTCCAGTAATTCATACCCTATTCTAAATTTTATCATGGTATCAAAGCCAATTATAGCCTACCTAGCTCGTTTTTTTAAGGTGTTCGTCTAGAAGTTCATTCCTAGTGGTCCCAGTCTTTAGCCCAGTTGTTCATGTAGAATGTATGCCCAACGACATGTGGCCTGTTTAACCTGATTATATTGCTCATCTGGAGTCCACTTGGTCCTTTAGGTGTTGACGCTAAAAAAACAAGAGGATGAGAGTTCATTTGCAAGTGGTCAAGCGATTATATTCAAAATGGTCCGGTTGTCCAGTTGAGGGAGATTATTAAAGAGTATCCACATCAGAAAAGCGTAAAGAAAATAATGGGTATATAAACTCTTTACTTGAACTAACTAATCAATATGATTCAATCTTTTAATGTGGTTCAACCTAAATGTATTATGCAGCACTCTAGTAATTAATAGCTCATTCTAAATTTTATAAGTTATAAACTTTGATGCAAAAGTTTGATAGTGTAGATAGTTATGGAATAGGCAGGAATATTAAGTATGATTAGAAGTTGTGGGATGTGATATGTAGGGTAATAAAAAGTATGGGTAAAAGTGGTTTTTTAATAGAAAGTGGAAGTTTTTTGGGAAAAACAAAAAAATGAAGTATGAAGTATTTTAAGAAACGGAGGGAGTATTAAGTTGTTTTTCTAAATTAATCATCAATAAGCAATAATCACTTACGTGGTCCTTTATAATTGAGATGCATTCTCTAAATAGTACCCTGCAAAAAATTTATATTAAATATCAGTCACATAGAAGATATTTTAGTATTTTTTATCATTTAGGTTTAAAATATGTTCTCGTAATGCTCTTTTATAATTAAGTATTTTTGAAATGGATTCCATGAGCATACTTGGATGGCCCGTTCCTCTAGCGACCACTCATTTAATTTGAAAGGACTATTTTGAGAAGTTATCCATAGATTAGACTTTAGATGATGGAAAATACAAAAATATATCTTCCATTTAACTATCATTTAATAGTCATTTTTGATAGAGGAGTATTTTGAGAATACATTTTAATAGTCATACAACTGTCACTTGATGTGTAGATTATTAGTAAAAAAGTATGATGTGATAGGTAGGATAAGAAAAAGAAAGAGATAAAAGTGACTTTTTAATAGAAATAAAAATTGTTTTTTGGGACGGATGAAAAAAAAAAGAAGAAAGGTTTCAGGGACGGAGGGAGTATTTATTAAGAATTAATTTGGAAAAACATCATTATTAGAAAGAATCATTTTAATAATTTACTTTAAAATCAAATATTAAAAGAACTGTGGTGATTTTAATGTCGTCAATTTAATAATTAAGTGATCTCCTCACTGGTTATTCAACCATTGGGTAAAAGTATTAGTCATTGATCACCCCATGTGTCATTATCATTAATGGAGAGATATATAGGAGGTGGCAATTATGGCCGAATGGGATCTAATGTCCGAGAATCAAAGAATATTAAAGTGTGTAATAAGAGTTAAGGAGTACATTATACTGTAAATTATATAGGTGTGCTTCACTCCTATATACACAAATCATAGTGTCAAATCAAGTTATTACTTCCATTTTGCACATTTTGAAATAGGTTTGGGAATAACTAATTATTAAATTTGTAGTTATATACGGTGAATTTGAAGTACTTTTTTCAGAAAATTAGTTCGGGGTATCCTTGATTTTCTTGGAAAAACTCTCAGGTCTCACATTACATAAAATATATTCGGAGGTACCTTCAATTTTCTGATAAGAACTTCCAAGTCCCACATTATCTGAAATATACTCTCGGGATCCTTAAAATTAATTTAATGGTAATGTACTCTGAGGGTACAATCCGTCCATTTGACTGTCAAGATTGAAACTTCGATTATGATTGAAAGTTCTGCTACTTTGACAAATCATTCTCCAGATATAATAATGATTCTAAATTGAAGGATTTTATTAAAATTTAATCATGGCCAAATGGAAGGAATATACCCTTGAAATAAATTATCACAAATTTTAAGGACCACCGGAATATATTTCAAATAATGTGAGACCTGAGAGTTCTTATAAGAAAATCGAGGCCCAAAGTATATTTTAGATAATGTGCGACCCATAGTTTTAAAAACCGGACCGGACCGGCCAGTTCGGACTAGGAACCAGCGAACCGGAGGTTGAGCCGGTCCGGTCCGGCCCTTTGGACCGCTTCGCGGATGAACCAGTTCGAACCGGTGTGAACCGGTAAGAACCGGCCGGTTCACCCGGTCGAACCTTTTTTTTTTCTTTTTTTTTGCAAATTTGGCCAAAATGTTTACTCTTCCACTAAGGTTCGAACCCTTAAACCTAAGGGTTGTTATCCTAAGCTATCAACCAACCAAGCAAGAACATTTTTTGTTACATGTTGGTTCCAAGTAGTATATATTCCCTTAATTAAAAGAGTAAATATGAATAAAAAGATTTCTTTATTTCTTAAACTAAGATTCTTAACA